CTCCGTCACCACAGCGCTTGTACGCATCACAGCAGGCACCACGATGTGCAGCGGTGCAGCACAATATGCATATCCGCAGCCGCGTGTACCACATGGCCACAGTACTACGCAGTGCACCGCCGCAGCCGCGTGCACCCCCAGACCCTCCTTCGAGCATTATTATGTGTTGGTGTTTGTTGGACATCGAGGGCGCCGGAGCGCTGGACGACGACGACGACGGACGACGACGACGACGACGAAGACTACGTCGACGATGAGGACGACAACGACGACGACGATGACGAAGAAGACGACGACGACGACAACGACGACGACGACAACAACGACGACGACAACGACGACGACGACAACCACGACGAAGACAACGACGATGACGACGGCCGCCTCTGAAAGTCTTGGCGAATCTCCGGAGGCCTAGAGAAATCTGTGGAGGCCTCTGGAGGCGTCTGCAAGCTTTGTGAGGCCCTCGGACACGACGACGGACCTGGCACGACGGTCTACCAGACCGGGTCTATCACACCTGGAGAGCGCCGAAGATGCCTTCTGAACGCTTTCCAAAAGGCTTCCAGGCTGTGTGAGGACAAGCCATTCGCCCCCAGGAGGGCCATGGACCGGCCTAAGAGGGCTCCATGACGCTCCCAGGGGCGCCCAAGACGGCCCAAGAGGCCCTACAGAGACGGCCGCAAGGTGGCCTCCAGAGGGGGAGCATGAACTGACATTTCGAGTGTTTCGCCCGAGGAGGCTGTTCAAGAAGGCGCCAGGACGGCTCCAGTGGGCGCCCGAGGCCTCAGACGAATGCCCAGAGAGGTACACATCTTTGATTTCCCTAGGGTTTGTCAATGTTTTCGGGGGCCTCTATTTTTCGAATCTCCGACAATCCACGATGGCCTAAGAGAGGTCTCCAACACCGCCTCAGGAAAGCGCAAGAAGCCCCCAGGAGGGCCCCGGGGGGGCCACACCAGGTTCCATGACGGCCCCAGGGGCGCCTAAGACGGCCCAGGAGGCACTAAAGACGGCCTCAAGATAAGTTTAATCGGGGATGGACAGAGCCCCCTTGAGTTAAACGTGGTTTAATGAAAACGACCTCGGGCCCAGACCTGGCGGGCGCAAGCCTGGAAAATGACGGCTGCGGCGCCCCCTCGAGAACCGAAGCCGGACAATTCACGAATCGACGTGTCAGGGTGGGGATTCTGTCCACCCCGTTTTTATAGGGGGAGCATGCGAGGGTCCGCCGTCCGCGCGAAATCGATTCGCGCGAAAACTGCGGGCCGTTCGAAAGAAATCCGCTGGGCGCGCGCGCGCGAAAAGAACCCACAGCATCCCAGAAGATGGCGGGAACCATGATTTTGGAGAAGTCGAGGCTGGAAAACCCCTGAAATTCCGGTTCCCGGCTCTGTCTGGCGCCCCTGGGACCCACGGCGGCCCCGAGGATGGCGGGAACCACGATTTTGGAGAGATCCAGGCCGGAAAAGCCCGAAATCGTGGTTCCCAGCTCTGGCTGGCGCCCCTGGACCCACGGCGGCCCCGAGGATGGCGGGAACCACGATTTTGGAGAGATCCAGGCCGGAAAAGCCCGAAATCGTGGTTCCCAGCTCTGGCTGGCGCCCCTGGGGCCCACGGCGGCCCCGAGGATGGCGGGAACCACGATTTTGGAGAGATCCAGGCCGGAAAAGCCCGAAATCGTGGTTCCCAGCTCTGGCTGGCGCCCCTGGGGCCCACGGCGGCCCCGAGGATGGCGGGAACCACGATTTTGGAGAGATCCAGGCCGGAAAAGCCCGAAATCGTGGTTCCCAGCTCTGGCTGGCGCCCCTGGGACCCACGGCGGCCCCGAGGATGGCGGGAACCACGATTTTGGAGAGATCCAGGCCGGAAAAGCCCGAAATCGTGGTTCCCAGCTCTGGCTGGCGCCCCTGGGACCCACGGCGGCCCCGAGGATGGCGGGAACCACGATTTTGGAGAGATCCAGGCCAGAAAAGCCCGAAATCGTGGTTCCCAGCTCTGGCTGGCGCCCCTGGGCCCACGGCGGCCCCGAGGATGGCGGGAACCACGATTTTGGAGAGATCCAGGCCGGAAAAGCCCGAAATCGTGGTTCCCAGCTCTGGCTGGCGCCCCTGGGGCCCACGGCGGCCCCGAGGATGGCGGAACCACGATTTTGGAGAGGAGAGATTCAAGGCTCGGAAAAGGACCGAAATCGTGGTGCCCAGCTCTGGCTTGGAGCCCTGGGGCTCCGGCGGGCCCCGAGGATGGCGGG